CGCCAGACTCAATGCGTGCATGTGTGCGTGCGTGCGTGCGTGCGTGTGTAGGGGGGGGTAACAATGGCACAAATTTCGACCAGCGGGGTAATCAGACGTAATGGGAATTACTTTGGGATGCAATCAGGTAACCCTACTTGTCAGGCATGCGATTTTAGGTGGGTACACAGTCAGGCTGCGGGCAAGGTGGTTTTGAACAATCCGTAGCGCATCGGATTGCCTTGTATTTGACGCTTTTCCTGAAAGCAGAGCGCACATACCTTTATTATTTGAATCTTTTCCTGTTCTGTGGTTCCTTAACTCTATCCACAATTTCATATGAACATCTAAGTTCCGTAATCGACGCTTCTAATGTTTGCATGTGTTGTCCGTGAATTTTAAGTTTACACGATTTCATATAATTTGCAAGCGTGTGCTTGTCAGTCCTTGCTTTACAGACGTCTTACACAACACTGATAGTCAGGGAATAATCTTTAGTGTATGTATCATTGACTATGACAGCTTTTCAAAACGTTATTTGACTGTAAATCTTTGTAAAACGGAGAATGGTGAAAGGACGGCGTCAATCAACCCCCGCAGAAATGGCCTCGTCCGTTGCCATGGCCATGGGTACACTCGGAGTAATACATGAATGAGACCTTAAATCCTGGTCAGTCGCACAGGTCATGACACAGCCTGGTAACCCATGACCCCAAGGAGAACAAACCTGACTACCAACATATCACTAAGCCTTGTGCGCTATCTCTTCCAGGTCGTACTTACTACTACATGCTGTCTCCTAAGAGAAAGAAGGCGTCCACCATCTCCGTAACTACGGCATAATGGTCATCCACCTTTTACAGTATGTACTGATAATAGAGGATGTATGAGGTGCGTTTTACAACCATGCTGCGTTTTAGGTCACTGACCAGACCTAGCGAATGTGCGATATTTACCGGGGGAGGGCTGGTAGTGGAGGGGAGGGCACAAAAGATCGGGGTCGAGAGGAAGGCCATGGAAACTTGTTATGAATACGTTGTACAATGCTATGTTCCCGATGTTTCATTTGAAAATGTGCAAGGCTTCCTGGAAATGCGGGCGTATGTACTACACCGAATACTACTAGTATCTTTCGTCACCCCTACAATTCTAGTGGTATCAGCCTAACTCCCCATAATTCCGTTCGACACTGTCGAAGCTGTCAACTTGCTTTTAGAAGAGACTCGAAAACAAAAAGATTTTGCTGAAAAGCGAAGCAACGTTCGAGCAGTTAGCAATTTTACATGCACATTGTTTTGTACATCCAATGCAATGGATGTTGTAGAGGACACAATGTACCCGGAAGGATGTGGGTTTAGAGATCGTACAAAGAGCACTGCTGTAGAAAACGGGTGCGTTGTACGTGTAACCATGGTATAACATGTCGTTTTGATGGGAATTTTCCGATCAGGGGCAAAAAATGGTCCAATCTGTCATCTTTGACACCGCAAAAAATGGCGTGTAAAGATATAGAAAGAGCTTGGGAGTTTGCACGGATCTCGAGAACATCAGCGTAAGTTTGCGGCGGAGGCGTTTAAATCATCAATATATTTATTAAGCACCCGCCCGATGCGCGGGAGACGACCCAAGCTGGTGTTCTGGCATGGCAGGGCGGGGCGGTAAATACAGCTGCTCCTTGTTCTTTCTTATGAGCAACAAAATTTATTATCTCTTGATAGAAGAAAACATATTCAAAAATATCAATAAAGACAATCATTGATATTCTATGTGCAAAAAGCCACAGTTTGCTCGAAAAGGTGCTGGGACGGTGTTAAAGATATTTTATTTTTGCCGATTTCCGTCACCGTTATTCTGTATATATGTGTATGTCTCTGTGGATCTTCGGTCACAGTTTTGCCTAGACATGCCGCACAAATAACACAGTGCTTGTAAACTTGCCCCATTTCCGTGTTCACTGAGAAGTTCCATCCGTATCCAAGTTAATGCGCATATAAACGCAAGAATTCATCCAAAACGCCTCAGTGGTCGGTCGAGAGGACAAATATTCCCCATGTTAGCAGCTGTCTTGAATTCTCGCTAGATCTCACAAAATGCACACGGGAGAACGTGATTTCTCTATCGAAACTGGTAAAACTGAATGTTAAACTTCAAGTTTACATATATCGGCAGAGGCCTGATAGCAAAATAAATTAAACCCAGGACCGCATTTCACTATTTTATTTCTAGAAGCGAAATTAGTGTGGTATTGAAAGTATACATTTCAGTGTTATATTCACTGCATTAGTTGGAAAACTAATTATGAAAATCTATAATAAAAAAGACAAAAAAGAAGCGAATCCCTATCTAGCGATTCTAATATTTTTAAGGGCCAGAAACACAACATAGATTTGCCTGGGCCTAACGCCTAACTGATTTTGGACCCCTGGCGTCTTTCCTCGTACTGTAGCAGAAACTCTGGATTCCTTCTAAATTGTATGTATACGTATAAGAAAAGAACGCTTTATCAAGAAGGGAACAGATAAACACAAAATCGTCGCCTGTGTTTTTTTTTAAAACATCATACTTGTTGTGGTTGTGACGCGCCCTCATAGTATTAACCGTTGCCTAATGTCTGCACAGTAGGTCTGGCGTTGATGCTTGGGATTATTTTTGTTGTAATATATACTAGTAAAACTTCATGGGGGATTGTCACCTTTGGCTTCTGGTTTGTTTTTAGAACAAGTTAAAATCAATGCGCGCGCGGATGTCATCCATAAAATTAAGGCAGTGTGGCCTTACGTTACACACGCTCTTCTTATATAAACACCGTTTTTTTCTACAACATGATCACCCCTTTTCCTTTGCTATCGGTTACGCCTTATATGATGCCATAGTCTCATTAAATAAATAAGAAATAAGCATTTATGTTTGCTGAAGAAAACCGTAAGCTTACCCTGACCGGTCACGCAGGTGCCCAAAAGGACGAGGAGAAGAAGCCCCACGGGTAGCGACACACGCGGGTCCATCCTGTCTCCGGATGTCCGGTAGGTCCCCTGGGATAAAGATAGTAATAAGAAGTGGGAATCATTACCTGGAACACACGACAGTTTTACCAGTTTACCCATACAGCATGCAGCAACACGATCATATTGTGTGTATGTAACGAAATCAGTATATGCAATATGCACACTAACTCATTTGTGAAAGAAACGTTCAAACATAACACCTTGGATAATGAAACCTGGAAGACGCGGTGGTCCTTAGGTGACCTAGGTACAGGTACCGAAGCAAGGGTATAACCAATGCAGCTTTGCTGTTTGAAGGGTTATGATAATTGTATAGTTATGTGTATGAATCAGTGGGTGAGAAAGATCTGACTCGCTGTCTTTCAAACAGCCCTAAGGCATCCGAAGCCAAAGGTAGGTAGGCGCGCGCGCGTGTGTGTGTGTGTGCGTGCGTACACTACCTTGCCACTAAAACATCTGCTTCGAGATGAGCAGTTCCTGTGCGTTCCACCAGAGGCGCCCTTGTATCATTTCTGAGCATTAGAAATAAAGCATCACCTTCAGCCCGAGACATGGTATTAAGGTAGAAGAGCGATGACAAATGATATGGAGTTGCCTTTGCTGATAGTACATTATGCTGATTTACCACTAGTATTACCCACCTATTAATGAGCTGTAATACCGCGCCGATAGAATCGTGTATAGCTTGAATTCTTTCTCCTCGTGATATATTGCTGTAAACGTTTGGGTCCTCAAATGGATCGTTGAACATAAAAAGGTATTTACCGCTGAAAATTCCAGCTCCGACGGTGTTACACGCACACATCCCCGCTAGATTAAATTACAGGGGCAAGCTCCTTCTTTGTCAGTCTGAACCTGTCCACACAGCCCCAAGACCGTGACACGTTTGAATCAGCAAACATAAGAGTAAATGGAATTTCCTCCCTCACACAGGCACAGGTCTGTAGTATGTAAGTATATATAGAGAGATTCACCTAATCTACTTTACTAACATCAATCACACCGCAACCAATAAACTAAAGTATTAGCTATAGTTAGCTATAGATAGATTTATCCAACCAACATCTACCAGTGTAACAGACTGAAAAAAGAAACTACTCTTGACATCAAGTGGACATAACAGAGAATTCTCTTCCCGTATATTTGTTGTGATATTTTAATATCCTGGGACTTAATCTAGCCGTAACGATATCGACAGTTTCAGATGGACTTGGTAACGGCTGACGAGGGTACGGAGTCTTAGAATGTGACCTAAGAGGACCCCCGAAGGACCAACCTATATAAACAAGCAAGTACCTCACAGAAATAAATAAAAACGAAGACCATCAAAAAGGCTCGGGAATGAATGCAGCAAATGGCTTCACCACATCCACCCTACCAAAAATAGACCTGTCTTTAAAAAAAATCTAAAATGAAAATGCATGCCCCCTCTCGTTAAGAAAGAATTCTTCTAGTCACCCCACATTATAATATATGTCATGGTCCTAGTTGGAAGAATTATGTAAGTGTATGATTTTAGCGTATGATTTTAGCTCGTACGTTAAAACTGAACCAGGACAAACTTTGAAGAAGGCTTGGATGGATTGTTACAGTAATGATATTTGGCATCTGTGGAGGTCGTGGGAAGATGAACATCAATGACCTCCTGGTGGCTGTCCTTGGTACTGCAGTCGTTTGTACCGGAAAAGGCCAAATGCGACCTTGCCACTAGAAGATCGGCTTCGAGATGAGCAGTTCCTGTACGTTCCATCAGAGGCGCCCTTGTATCATTTCTGAGCATTAGAAATAAAACATCACCTTCAGCCCGAGACATGGTATTAAGGTAGAAGAGCGATGACCAATGATATGCAGTTGCCTTTGTTGATAGTACATTATGCTGATTTACCACTAGTATTACCCACCTATTAATGAGCTGTAATACCGCGCCGATAGAATCGTGTATAGCTTGAATTCTTTCTCCTCGTGATATATTGCTGTAAACGTTTGGGTCCTCAAATGGATCGTTGAACATAAAAAGGTATTTACCGCTGAAAATTCCAGCTCCGACGGTGTTACACTCACACATCCCCGCTAGATTAAATTGCAGGGTCAAGCTCCTTCTTTGTTAGTGTGAACCTGTCAACTCAGTCCAAAGACCGTGACACGTTTGAATCAGCAAACATAAGTGTAAATGGAATTTCCTCCCTCACACAGGCACAGGTCTGTAGTATGTAAGTATATACAGAGGGATTCACCTAATCTACTATTATAAATTACTAACATCAATCACACCCCAACCAATAAACTAAAGTATTAGCTAGCTATAGATAGATTTATCCAACCAACATCTACCATTGCAACAGATTGAAAAAAACTACTCCTGACATCAAGTGGACATACCAGAGAATTCTCCTAATGCATATTTGCTGTGATATTTTGTTATCCTAGGAGTAATCTAACCGAACGATATCGACAGTTTCAGATGAACTTGGTAACGGCTGACGAGGGTACGGAGTCTTAGAATGTGACCTAAAAGAACCAACCAAGGACTAACCTATATAAACAAGCAAGTACCTTACAGAAAAAATAAAAACGAAGACCACTAGAAAGGCTCGGGAGAAATGCAGCAAATGGCTTCACCACATCCCCCCTGCCAAAAATAGACCTGTCTGCAAAAAATCTTTAAAAATTCATCCTCTCTTTAAGAATGAATTCTTATAGTGACCCCACATTATAATACATGTTATGGTCCTAGTTTGAAGAATTATGTAAGTGTATGAGTTCACTTGTACGTTAAAACTGGACCAGGCCAAACTTTAAAGAAGGCTTGGACGGATTGTTAAAATAATGATATTTTTG